TTTTTTTTTTTTAAGAAAACTCTACTCCCAACATGGGACTAGAACTCGCAACACCAAGATCAAGAGTCACACGCTCCACCAACCTGAACCAGTCAGGTGCTCCCAGGATTGATGATTCTTGAGCTTTAAAATCTCACAGAGTTTGCCTTCCTGATTTTGAACTTGCTTGGGACTTGTCACCCTTCCTTCCTTCCTATTTCTCCCTTTTGGAAGAAAAGAGCTTGTCCCACTGCTATATTTTGTAAGCATGTGCTTGGTTTCACAGGTTTACAGCTGGAGGGGAATTCTGCCACAAGATGAATCTTGTGTTGTTTAAGCCATCCAGTCTAGGGCATTCTGTTATAGCAGCCTGCACTGACTGAGACAGCAGGCTTTCACATCTTGAAAGGTTTCCACTAAAAATAAAATTTAATCTAGAAGCGTGAGTGGTTGGAGAGTTAAACTCAGCTGTCAAATAACTTAGTTATCTAAAACAACTCATTCTCTTAAGAATTCAGTCATGGTTTTACTGGTTGGATTATGTTATCAGCAAAAACCACGTAGTGTTATGTAAGATTAAGCAAACATACAGAACGAAACACTATTGCCACGATCTTGAAAAGACTGAAGGCCTTGCCATGTGTGCTACTGTGATTTATAAGAAATATATATTTGGTCTTTGTGTCCTTTTCTGGCACAGATCTCCTAAAACCATTGGTATCTTCTAAGTGATGAGGGTAATGCATGTTTTTTGCTGTGTTAATGAGAACTCAAAAGCACCTAAAGATGGGGCTGGTTGCCAGTAGAGCCAACCATGTGATTAGAGGGTTGGAACTTTCAGTCCCACCCCCAGACCTCCAGGGAAGGGTGAGAGGCTAGAGATTGAGTTGGATCCCCAATGGCCAATGATTGGATCAATTATGCCTATGTAAATTAGGCCTCCATAAAAATCCAAAAGGTGGGGTCTGGGGAGCTTCTGGGTTGGTGAACACTTTTCTGATGCCAGAAAAGTGGTACACGGAGAGAGGGCATGGAAGCTCCTTGCCCCTTCCCCCATGTCTTATCCTATGCATCTCTTTATTTGGCTGTTGATAAATACCCTTTGTAATAAACTGGTACTGTAATCTAGCGAGTAAACTTATTTCTTGAATCCTGTGAGCCACTCTAGCAAATTAACTGAACCCAAGGAGGGGTCATGGGAACCTCTGATTTATAACCATTCGGTCAGAAGCACAGGTGACACTCTGGACTTGCAATTGGCATCTGACATGGGGACAGTCTTAAGCTTGAGCCCTTAACCTGTGGGAACGGATGCTAACTCTGGGTAGACAGTGTCAGAACTGAGTTGAACTGTAGGGCAACCAGCTGGTGTCTGAAAATTGCTTACTGATGGGGGAACACCTCCCCCCGCCCCAGGCCTGCTACTATCCCCCAACACACATATTTTGGAATTGGCATTAGAACGTAATTACCATGGTACACTTCCAAGCAGCAATGAGTAACATTCACAATGAGCTTCTTATATTATACATTACATCTACTGAAGAGACAGGAGGATAGAGAAGAAACACACCCTAAAGTATGATGTTTGAGTACGGCCCATGGAGCATAATTCATAGGTAAGACTGAACAATTTCAAAATATCTAAAGTGTAAAAGAAATAGGCTACAAAAAGGAAGGATTTATAAATGGTTACAGAAAATAAGTAAGCATATTCCAGGGAGAAGGTACAAAAGAGAAATAAGAAAAAGTAAAGCAAGGGACAATTCAGAGGAAAGGGATGAATCCTGAGTATGGCAGATTTTTTTTTTTTTAACAGACTTTGCCTCACTCTATAATCATGATGGGAGATAAAATTCACTGTAATAATGGTTTTTTTTTTAATCCGATGATGAAAATTCGTATCTCAAATGCATGATCAGCAAAGTTTACTGTGATAAAAAGATAATCTGGAACAACACGTTATTTAAGTAATACTCATCACAGCACTGACCCTGTCATTAGCAAAAAGGACTAAATAATAATTGTGTATTTTTATGACTCAGCTGATACAGCAAAAATAGCAACAAGAACAACAGCGGACACTTATTAAGAGCTTACGATTGGTCAGTCACTACTCAGAGAATATAACATGTATTAGTTTATTTATTTAACCCTTTCAACAGTACCTACCTGTTATTTCCAACATACAAAAGAGAAACTCAAGCACGGTGAAAATGCTAGCGGACTTCCCCAGGACCACTTCTAGCAACTGGCAGAAGGGGCAGTTTGCCTCCAGGGCCTGTGCCCTAACCACCACAGATTAAGTTTTTACTCCACTTTCCAGTTTCACCTTTTAGGTGGCATGCATCTCAAAAACACCAAAAGGATACCATGCACAGGAGAAATACGTCACTTACCATTGGGAAAAGCTAACACACTGATGATAAGAAAGAAGAAAACAACAGAAAGGATACCCCTCCAGATGTTGTCTTCTGGGACAGAGTCATCCCTGAAAGCAGAAAAGAAAACACTGAGTATTCATTTTCAGATCTAAACAGACGACATGATTGGGATTGTTAACTTCATTTTGCTGAGCAAAGTCATTACAAATACTACTTATCATTCACTATCAATTCCTAAAATAATACCATCTTATAATAAAGTCCAGTTCTTACAAAAAATGCCATTGGCAACCTTGCACACCAACATACATTCTCTTCGGACAAACATTTGAGAATCACTGTTCTTTTTTTTTTTTTTTTTAATGCCCAGGATGTCAAAAGGTAAATGCTTTTTGATTTCAAGAATCACTAAAGATGACCTTTATGATATAGACTGTGCCAAGAAATCTTTTAGAAGCCAGAAAGAAAGCATAACATTATAAAGAAGAAAACATAATGCAATGAGATTATGTATCAATTCTTAAAAACAGGCAGTTGACTACCTAAGGGATGAACAAAAAGGGCGAAAATGTTGGGCAATAAGAAAACACCAGAAAATGATACTTATTAAAAGAAAAATCATTAAAAACAGAATATAAGACTTAAAGTCAGACCAGAAGCAAAAGAATTATGAAGAAAGGGAATGAGTTTCTTCCCTCTGCGCTTGGTCATTTCTAATCTATTGCTGTGTTTATCTCCTCCATAACCCTAGTAACTTGAAATGATTCCACTTGTTGGTTGATATGTTGTCTGTCTTCAATATAGAAAGTAAACTCGGGGATTATTCTCTCATTATATCCTCAAAGGCTGGCACATGGTAAACCTTTGATATTTGTGGACTGATTATTTATTAGGAAGAAAATCTATCGTATAAAACCAAGTAAAATTCCCTTTGGGAAATCTGATGGCAGAAAAAAATTAAGGTTCTCACTGTTTGCATTTAAAAAAAAAAAGGAGAGTCTAGTAACATATTTGGGGTTCAAGAGAAACCAACAAAAGAGGGAAAACAGAAGTATAAGACAGAAAGATTTTGTGAATTGTTGATCATTATTAAGAAGCTTGAGAGAGGAAAGTCCAGGATTTCAGTTTAAAAAGATGCAGGATGAGTAGACAGAAAATAAGAAAACAGAACAGAAGGAGATACTTAGACATAATAAGACTACGAGCAATAAATTTAAAACTGATTTTTGAAGGCTGAGTTTATCAGTGGAAGGACTGCAGTGAAAGAGCTTTCAAAAGACAAAGATTAAACATTACTGAAAAAAGAAGATAAAAACTTTATAAGAAAATCAAGTTAACATACAAAAAAAAATCGAGAGCATCGGGATACATGAGAAGTATAAAATAAAACAATAATGAATTACTATGAACTTCTGTTCAGGCACCCAATTAAGTGATTTCCAGATTCATGAGAGGACTGAACATAAGGCTCTGAGGTAAGAGATCATACAGATTCCATTTCTTAAACCATCATCTGGCCAAACAGCACTCATGTTAATGTTGGACAAACAATGCTTAACTGTTAACTTCACAGATCTGCTTATAAAACCAAACTACACAATCAGACAGATTTTCTCTTGCAGCAAGGCGCAATCTTATTTTAAAGTACACCCTAACAATTTCACATCTGCCCAGAAGTTATGAGTATGGCCTTAAAAAATGCTAGCCCAATTATTACTAGGGTATTTGCAATGCCTTTTGGCCTAGGCAGGGAAGCCCCATATCCAATTTCCAGGAACACCAGCTTGTCCTGAAGAATGAATACATACAGGGATTGGGGGGGACACAATGTTTTCATTCAGACCAACATCACACTACTGATATTGGCAACAATAACGACCATAATAACAGCTCCCGTTTATCAAGTATTTACTGTGTGCCAGGCACTGAACAGGCAGTTTCTAAACATTATTGCTAATTGTCACCCCCCCCCCCTGCAAAATGGAGTACTATCAACCATATTTTACAAATGACGTAACAAAGGCTCAGAAAGGTTATGTAATTTTAATTTGCCCAAGGCTACACAGATAAGAAGATACAGAGTTTGCATTTGAAACCAGGTCTTTTAGACTCTGAAGACAATGCCAAATTGCCTCCTAAAAAAATTATCTGTCATCCTAAATCAATCTGATTCATGTTAGATGTACCGGGATGGTAGAAGAGAGTTTGACAGGACATAACGTTTGTAAGTTCCAGATAAAATAAAAGCAAGGCTGAAATAAATAACTGTTGCTTGGGAAAAGGTGAATTGTAACTCATACTTTATACCAAAATATACTCTGGACATTCATAGAATAAAAAAACCAAAAACAAACAAGAATGGAAAAAAGTTCTGGAAGAAACAATGGGCAAATTAAAAAAACAAAACCAAAACACAACCATCTCAGAGCAGGGAAGACCCTTCTAAAATATGACACAACCCAGAAATCATAAAGGAAAAAAACCGGTCAATCTGCACAACAAAGAATCAACAAAGGAAAAATGATAAACTTAGGACTTCTATCAAGGCAAAGAGTTAACTTCCCTAATACACAAAGCACTCCTCCCCAAATCAATTAACAGAAAGAACAACAAATGGACAAAGAAAAACAAATAGAAAAATGGGCAAAGGATATGAAGAGACAGTTCAGAGTGAGAAATCCAGTGGCTCTCAGGCAAGTGAAAAGATGCTGAGTCTCACTCATGGTTAAGAGGTGGACAAACTAAAACAACCGCGAGAGACCATTCTCTATGAACCTATGAACAAAGGTAAAAATTGAATGACTGAGTTGGAGAGGATAAACAGGAAGTCTCTCTCACATTGCCAGTAGTAGTATAGATTGAAACCACTTTAAAGTAGGGCAATTTGGCAACATATTAACTTTATAAATGCACATACCCTGTGACTCAGCAACTCCATGAATGAGAATTTATCCCACAGCTATACCTTCATTTATGCAAAAATGACATATGTACAAGGTTGTTCACTGTGGCATTATTTGCATTAGCAAAAGAGTGGAAACAAGCTAAATAAGTGTCCACTGATAAAATCAGTGGAATCAGGGAACTGATAAAATCAATTATGGTCCCATCTCATAATGAAATACTGGGCAACCAAAAAAAGACTGAAGAAGCTTCCTGTGAGTTAACTACTACAGAATAAGAGACATCATGAGATAAATAAAGCAAGTTGTAGAACAGTGAGTTTAGGAAGCAAATATTCTCTGTTCAAAAAAGGGGGCACGTGTATGTGCATGTAACTTGCAACTTGTACAGATAGCTGCAGGTCTCACAAATCTACCCAAGAAATGGCAACACTGTTTCCTCCAAGAAGAAAAAGGAGCAAGGGAGACTTTTCTCCACATACTCTGGTTAATGGATTTCAAGCAATGTGTATCCATTATTCTTTTTTTTTTTTAATTTTTTTTAACGTTTATTTATTTTTGAGACAGAGAGAGACAGAGCATGAACGGGGGAAGGTCAGAGAGAGAGGGAGACACAGAATCTGAAACAGGCTCCAGGCTCTGAGCTGTCAGCACAGAGCCCGACGCGGGGCTCGAACTCACAGACCGTGAGATCATGACCTGAGCCGAAGTCGGACGCTTAACCGACTGAGCCACCCAGGCGCCCCAATATCCATTATTCTTTACCAAAAAAAAGGTAATTAAAATTTTTACCTAAACAAATGGCTACAGCAAACCAGAAAATCAGTCTCTACTTGAAATTACTTGCTAGTCAGAATGCTTGAAAATATACATCAACATGAAATTCATAAAAACTTAAGATCAGTAATAACTAAGGATATAAAACCAGGGTGCCCACCTGGCTCAGTAGGTTAAGAGTCTGACTTGGTTTCAGCTCAGGTCTCATGATCTCATGGTTGGTGAGTTCAAGCCCAGCACCAGGCTCTGCGCTGACAGTACAGAGCCTGCTTGGGATTCTCTTTCTCTGCTCCTCCCGCGCTCGCTCTCTCTCTCTCTCTCTCTCTCAGTCTCTCTCAAAGTAAATAAATAAACACTTATAAAATGAAACTGCAATTTTGTAAATTTTGAGCAGCTATATTAGAAAGGATCAAAGGGATGGCTTAGTTGTTTCAGGAGGGGAAAAAAAAGGCTGATTAAATCTGAAAAAAAGTAGCAGTGGGGTCTGAAAGTTGGCAGCCTTATATCTAATGAGGGGGAAAAAAGCATAGCAAAGATAGACAGCAGGGTTGTTAGATAAACTGAAAATGTACAGTACAGGAAGATCAGACTTCTGTGACCAATGATTGGAGCGTAAGCAGGTGATCTTCAGAAGGAATGTGAGCCCCATCTGAGCTCAGCCTCACAAGCAGCTTCTGGAGAGTGGAAAGGGTGTTCCCACCGCACCTAGAACAGCCCCTTACAAGAGGTGGGTGCACAGAAAGAACTGAATGCATGAATGAAGCATTGCCCAGCACCCCCAACCCCTGCCCCGTCAACTCTCCCTGCCCTGACAACCTTGACCACAGCCCTGACTTCTTCCCAAGGTCTACTGCAGCCATCAATGACAAATGTCTCAATCTCTGGTGCTCTGAACTTTCCAAAGAACTTCCTCAGCTGGCATTTTCTTTTAACTGCTTCACAGTTTTGCGGGGAAGTATTATCTTTACTCGAAGGATGAAGAAGATAAAGCTTTTTATCTTGCCCACAGTTACACACAAATAGGAGGCAGAGTGGAAGTAGGAGCCAGGGCTTCTGGAATGCTGGCTCTAGGTCAAGATTGCTACATTTACCAAAATGATACAAACAGACAAGCTGGGGAGGGGGGACAAAGTCCTTTTCTCTCTGCCAAATTTAGGAGGTGCTCCAGAAGTGTGGGGAGGGGGGTAGCCCCAACCACATACAGTAAAACTACTGAATGGGCAGATTATAATAAAATTGTAATTTAAGCGCCAGTGGGCACAGGTCCCATCTCATTCCTCTGAGGTACCTCCCATGCCCAGCACAATGCTTTAGCACACGGCAGGCATTCTCAATATGGTGGGTGCCAGAATGAAAGAGACGCTATGGCTGAGTGGGGCCAGCGACTCAAGTCACGAAGGAGTGAAGCACAGCCTGAGGCCATAGAG